TAAGACTGTAGTGTGTCTTGTAAGACTGTAGTGTGTCTTGTAAGACTCGAGTGTGTCTTGTAGGACTATAGTGTGTCTTGTAAGACTGTAGTGTGTCTTATAAGACTGTAGTGTGTCTTGTAAGACCATAGTGTGTCTATTAAGACTGTAGTGTGTCTTGTAAGACTGTAGTGTGTCTTGTAAGACTGTAGTGTGTCTTGTAAGACTGTAGTGTGTCTTGTAAGACTGTACTGTGTCTATTAAGACTATAGTGTGTCTTGTAAGGCTTTAGTGTGTCTTGTAAGACTGTAGTGTGTCTTGTAAGACTGTAGTTAGTCTTGTAAGACTGTAGTGTGTCTTGTAAGACTGTAGTGTGTCTTGTAAGACTTTAGTGTGTCTTGTAAGACTGTAGTGTGTCTTGTAAGACTGTAGTGTGTCTTGTGAGACTGTAGTGTGTCTTGTAAGGCTGTAGTGTGTCTTGTAAGACTGTAGTGTGTCTATTAAGACTATAGTGCATCTTGTAAAGCTGCAGTGTGTCTTGTAAGACTGTAGTGTGTCTTGTAAGACTGTAGTGTGTCTTGTAAGACTGTAGTGTGTCTTGTAAGACTACAGTGTGTCTTGTGAGACTGTAGTGTGTCTTGAAAGGCTGTAGTGTGTCTTGTAAGACTATAGTATGTCTATTAAGACTATAGTGCATCTTGTAAAGCTGCAGTGTGTCTTGTAAGACTGTAGTGTGTCTTGTAAGGCTATAGTGTGTCTTGTAAGACTGTAGTGTGTCTTGTAAGACTGTAGTGTGTCTTGTAAGACTGTAGTGTGTATTGCAAGACAGTAGTGTGCCTTGTAAGACTCCAGCGTGTCTTGTAAGACTGTAGGGTGTCTTGTAAGACTACAGTGTGTCTTGTAAGACTGAAGTGTGTCTTGTTAGCCACCCAGGATAACCCAAGAAAGTCAGTGCGTCATCGAGGTCTGTCTTGCTTATTTCCATTGGGGTCCTTAATCTTGTCCCCCAGGATGCGACCCACACCAGTCAACTAACACCCAGGTACCTATTTGCTGCTAGGTGAACAGGACAACAGGTGTAAGGAAACGTGTCGAAATGTTTCCACCCGCCGGGAATCGAACCCGGGCCCTCCGTGTGTGAAGCGGGAGCTTTAGCCACCAGGCCACCGGGCCACTAGGACAATATTCTTGTTTTTTTTCAGTTTGTGGGTCCCTAGAATCTGAGAGTGTTTTCCTGGTCTTTTTTATATCTCCTCTATTGTCTGTGAATCTACTGGAGTAGTATAGTTGTTTGGCTTTCTTTATTACTTTGGTGAGAACTGATGAATAGTGTTTAAGAATATCTTTGTGTATTAAGCCCTGTCTATATTGCTTTTCATATTGGTGTTTCTTGTCAATGGATTTCAGAATGGTGCTGGTTAGCCATGGGCAACCAAGCCGTTTGTTTGTGGTCTGTTTCGTTTTAATAGAATAATGTTTGTTGTATAGTCTAAGTAATTTGTTAAGAAAAATGTCTGTCCAGTCATCAATACCATTGGCCTTGGAGAATTCTGTAGGCCAGTCAACAATCTCTAGGTCAGTTGTGAACTTCCTTATTGAGGCCTCGTCATGGAGTCTAAATGAGACTTTGTTGTATTCAAGTGGTGGTTTATTAATGTTTGTCAGGAGGAAGGTAGGGTAGTGGTCTGTACTACTATCTGTGATTATCCCTGATTTAAGGGGGGCTAGTATATTGGTCCATATGTGGTCTATTATGGTTACACTTGTCTCAGTGAGCCTAGTTGGTTTAGTTATTGTTGGTATGAGAAGTGTGTTGTTCATATTGTTGATGAAATCAGTTACAGGCTGATCATCTAGTAAGCCAAGGTTGATGTTGAAGTCTCCATGGGCACTGTATGACTATTGCCCACCTCATGGGTACTGTATGACTACCACCCATACCATGGGTACTGTATTACTATCGCCGACACCATGGGTACTGTAAAACTACCACCTAGATCATGGGTACTCTGTACCTACTGCCCATAAAATGGGTACTGTATGACTACCGCCCACGCCATGGCTACTGTACGACTACCGCCCACACCAAGGATATGGTATGACTAACACCCACATCATGGGAACTGTATGACTTCCACCCTCACCATGGGCACTGTATGACTATTGCCCACCTCATGGGTACTGTATGACTACCACCCATACCATGGGTATTGTAAAACTACCACACGGACCATGTGTACTTTATAACTACTGCCCCCAAAATTTGTTCTGTATGACTACCGCCCACACCTGGAGTTTACCTGGAGAGAGTTCCGGGGGTCAACGCCCCCGCGGCCCGATCTGTGACCAGGCTTCCTGGTGGATCAGAGCCTAATCAACCAGGCTGTTACTGCTGGCTGCACGCAAACCAACGTACGAGCCACAGCCCGGCTGGTCAGGTATCGACTTTAGGTGCTTGTCCAGTGCCAGCTTGAAGACACCGTGGGTACTGTATGACTACCACCCTCACCATGGGTATGGTATGACTACCTCCCACACCATGGGTATGGTATGTCTACCGCCCACACCATGGGTATAGTATGACTTCCACCTACACGTTGGGTATAGTATGTCTTCCGCCCACACCATGGGTATAGAATGACTACCTCCCACACCATGGGTATAGTATGACTACCTCCCACACCCTGGGTATAGTATGACTCCCTCCAATACCATGGGTATGGTATGACTACCTCCCACACCATGGGTATGGTATGACTACCACCCCCTCCATGGGTATGGTGCGACTACCACCCTCACAATGGGTACTGTATGACTACCGCACACACCATGGGTATGGTGTGCATAATAATGATATTGAACTAACACCAGTTTTATACATGGGTGTCCCGTAGCTTGGTCGCTAGCGCAGTCAGCTCAGACGCTGAGGTCCGGAGTTCGAATGTGCGGTAAGTAAGTAAGTAAGTAAGTTTATTCAGGTATACACAAATACAGTTACATAGAATTATCATACATAGCAGAATATGTGTAGAGAACCTAGAATAACCCAAAAAAGTCAGACAGAGTGACTTATTTCCATTGGGGTCCTTTTACCTTATTATTATAATATAAAGGTTATAATATTTTCTTATTATTCTATAATGAAGATAACATCTTATTATCATACTAAAAAGACTATCTACTACACGAGGGTCATTAAGACTATTTACAATACGAGGGTCATTACTAGGAATAAGGTAAAATTTACACGTATGTTAGATAAAAAATAGAAAATCATTCCCCTCCCTTTCTGTAGCTACATTCATCAGACACCTTTTGGCACTTTTCTTGAACTGGTTCATGCTATGACTGGCTTTGACATGTGCAGGCAGTCTGTTCCATTCCTTTATTGCTGTACAATAAAAGGTGTTTGAAGCCTGGCCAATGACTGTGGGTACTACAAAGTTGTGCTCTCTCCCCCTAGTACTATGATTGCTTTGGTTCCCAACCTTGACAAAATTGACAGCAAGATATTCTGGACACTGTTTGTGAGCAATTTTATAAACATGATTTAGCTTCAGTTGTTTTACTCTGTCTTCAACATTCAGCATATCCCACTGCTGTAATTCATCCTGGCCTACATGTTCTCTTGGTCCCAGCCCCAGGATGAATCTTACGATTTTGTTCTGGGTGATTTGCAGTCTATCTTTCAGTTTTTTTGTCAAGGCAGAGTACCAAGAAGAGCAAGCGTAATCCATATGGCATTGTATAAGGGTAGACATAGGGTCCTGCGAGCCTCGGTAGGTAGACACTGTGCTTGTCTATACAGGAACTTCAGTCTGGCATTCGCTTTCTTTACTACACTGTTCCCTATCAATTCTCCTGACATGCATGGGTCAAAGGGGATTCCCAAATATTTTACTGATGAAACCAAAGTGATGGGCTCCCCATTACATTGAACATTAAAGTTATTTACCCTTCTCAGTTTATGTTTCGTGCCAAAGAGAATGGCTTCAGTTTTCCCTAGGTGTAATGATAGTTTGTTGTCTACTAACCATTTGCTGCAGGACTCCAGTTCCAGTGTTAAAACATTAGCAATATCTTGTGGGTCTTTACCTGTCACTAACAGAGCACTGTCATCTGCATACAGTAGGAGTTTGCACTTGACACTGATAGGCATATCATTGACATAACATAAGAATAATAAGGGACCCAGAATACTACCTTGGGGAACTCCACATGTTATCGGCAGGGGTTCTGATTCTGTTTTGTTGATTTTGACTATTTGTCTCCTGTTGCTAAGGTAGTACTTAAACCAGTCTACAGAACCTATACCGATAGCTTGAAGTTTATTACATAATATATTGTGTAAAGTAAAAGGACACAAGTGCAACTAATGTGACATTTATTGTGGCAACGTTTCGCTCTCCAGGAGGCTTGATAAAGCTCCTGGAGAGCAAAACGTTGCCACAATAAATGTCACATTAGTTGCACTTGTGTCCTTTTACTTTACATATTGTCGGTAATTCTACCAACTTTATTATAATATATTGTGGTTGACAGTATCGAAGGCCTTTTGCAGGTCTAAGGTTACCATACCTATGAGGTTCCTCTTTGACATTTCAGTTCTCAGGTATTCCATCAGATTAATAAGGGAGGTGTCTGTTGAGTAGGATCTTCTAAAGCTCGATTGATAGCTATGGAGAATGTTGTTGTCATTAAGGTACTTAACTACTTGAGAATACACCGCCCTCTCTAGAATTTTAGATATTATACTGAGTATACTAACAGGCCTATAGTTGCTTACATCAGACCTACTATTTTTCTTGAAGATAGGAGTAACTCTGACTTAAAATTGAACTAATTTGCCCGAAATGCTCTGTATAACAAGCGGCTTTCTATAGAGTAGTATATCATTGATGTCAGCTAGGCCTGACATCAATGACACACGACTATACTGCATGTGCTTGCTGAAATAAAGATATTTTTATTATTATTAGTTTGTTGGGGCACTTGAGGTTGTGTTGACACTGTCTTCGGGCATTGTCAACCCTTGAACCCAACACTAACACTGAGACTGCCCAAGTATAATGCCTGATGTTCAGTTGATTATCTTTTGTTATGAGAAGAGTTTTATGATGTATCTCGGAGCAATGGAAGTGTGAGGTAAATGCGAATGTAACCATATTATTTTTAATTATTAAAAGTTTGTAATGAATCTGGAAAATTATCAAACATCTTGTGTTGTATGTAATTCCTGTGGAGTGTTACTGAAGTGCTCTTGATCCTGGGATATGGAGCTGCCTTATCTGCCAAATGTGTGTTCCTGACGTGCTCTTGATCCAGGGATATGGTGCTGCTTTACCCTTTGTTAGACAACCTGATTTCTTCCCATTCCCTAGGCTCTATGCCCCTTACTGGTTTAGTGCATTCTGTTGAATATACGCCAATGTGTGGTTGCAGGGGTCGATTCACAGCTCCTGGCCTTGTAATGTAATAATGTTGATTGTGTTCCTCAGAAGGTGTGACCCCTCAAGGAAGGTTCCTTGACGCTGGTGAGGGGCTCATGATCTAGGGAATTAGATCTGTGCTCCAGTTCCCTGGATTGAGCCTGAATGCCTTCCATCCCCCCCACATGCGCTGTATAATCCTACGGGGGTAGCAATCCCCCATGATTATAATAATAATAATCAGAAGGTGTGATTACTGGTATTGACTTAACTAAGATAAGATTTCGTTCGGATTTTTAACCCCGGAGGGTTAGCCACCCAGGATAACCCAAGAAAGTCAGTGCATCATGGAGGACTGTCTTAGCTTATTTCCATTGGGGTCCTCAATCTTGTCCCCCAGGATGCGACCCACACCAGTCGACTAACACCCAGGTACCTATTTGCTGTTAGGTGAACAGGATAACAGGTGTAAGGAAACGTGACGAAATATTTCCACCCGCCGGGAATCTAACCTGGGCCCTCTGAGTGAAGCAGGAGCTTTAGCCACCAGGCCACTACAAGCTTAAGATCACTGTGTTTATGTTGCTTCATATTATGTATCAATTACACTAGTATATATAATAATAATATACCCTTGTAAGTAAAGTTTATTCAAATATACACAAATAGTTACATAGATTATCATACATAGCAGCATATGTGTAACGTACCAAGGATAATCCAAAAAAGTCAGACAGAATGACTTATTTCCATTGGGGTCCTTGATATAACCAATGAAGAAAACCATTGTTAATATCAACTTGGGTGGGAAGTTGCCCAGGATAACCCAGGATAAAAATCCATCTGGCATACTCTGCATACACAGGGGCTTCTGGCATGTACACCCAACTATTATATTACTCTGTACAATCATGTAATTTGTCAAAATGAACATCTTTATCTTTAATGTTAAAATTTTTAACCTGGAGGGTTAGCCACCCAGTGAAACCCAAGAAAATCAGTGGATCATTGTGGACTGTCATTTCCATTGGGGTTCTTCAGTCGTGTCCCCCCAGGGTGCGACCCCCACACCAGTTGACTAACACCCAGGTACATTCATTCTGCTTGGTGAGTTTAGCGCTTGGTTTCGAATAAGAATAATAATAATAATGATAATAATATCTTTGTTTCAGCGAGTGCATGTACAAGATATACAGGCCTAGCTGACATCAATGACATACTACTATATAGAAAGCCACTTGTTATGCAAAGCATTTTGGGCAAATTAGGTCAGTTTTGTCCCAGGATTTGACCCACACCAGTCGACTAACACCCAGGTACTTTTATACTGATGGGTGAACAGGGACAGCAGGTGTCGTATGGAAATACATTCCTAATGTTTACCAGCTGTACCGGAGATTCAAACTCCGGACCTCAGTGTGTAAACTGAGTGTGCTAGTAGTCGAGCTATGGAGCACCCAATTGTAATTATAGTAATAATTGTCAGGGACAAACAGGTGTAAGGAAACATGCCTAATGTTTCCACCCATGCTGGGTATTGAGCCACAGACATTCAGTGTGTGAGGCGAGAGCATTGCTTACTATATCTTAAGTAAGTAAGTCCAGTAGTGTGCATATTAATTGGGACAGTGTTGACAAGACAGCAGTGATATGACAGATAATTGATTTAATAAGGGATATGACTACCCTTTGCTACATGCTTTGGCACAGAATCGACCAATGTTGAATATATTTTGGCAAATTCTTTGTCGTGGTACCAGGTCCTAATAACAGCAGCAGTTAGCTTCTCCACAGTTGAACAGTCCTTCTTTTGTGATCCTTTGTTTGGGTATTGCCCACAGATCTCAATTGGGTTGAGGTCAGGAGAGTTTCCAGGCTAATTTCGAATGTTTAATCCACTCTTCAAAGATTGCCAGAATTTTTCTGGAAGTGTGTCATGGAGCAAGATCCTTTTGGAAAATACTTTCTCCATCAGGAAAGTCTCTCTCTACAATGGGAATCAAATGAGTTGCCAAGATTCCTTGTATTTGTCACTGTTCATTTTCCCCTTAACAGTAACAAGCAGGCAGGGCCCTTAGAAAAAACTACCCCAAAACTTCCTAGGTGGATGTTTTGGCGCTTGTTGAATGTATCCCGGAGTTTACCTGGAGAGAGTTCCGAGGGTCAACGCCCCCGTGGCCTGGTCTGTGACCAGGCCTCCTGGTGGATCAGAGCCTGATCAACCAGGCTGTTACTGCTGGCTGCATGCAATCCAACGTACGAGCCATAGCCCAGCTGGTCAGGTACCGACTTTAGGTGTTTGTCCAGTGCCTGCTTGAAGACACCCAGGGGTCTATTGGTAATCCCCCTTATGTATGCTGGGAGGCAGTTGAACAGTCTCGGGCCCCTGACACTTATTGTATTGTCTCTTAACGTGCTAGTGACACCCCTGCTTTTCATTGGGGGGATGTTGCATCATCTGGCGAGTCTTTTGCTTTCGTTGTGAGTGATTTTCGTATGCAAGTGGTACTAGTCTCTCTAGGATTTTCCAGGTGTATATAATCATGTATCTCTCCCGCCTGCATTCCAGGGAGTACAGGTTCAGGAAATTCAAGCGCTCCCAGTAAGTGAGGTGCTTTATCTCCGTTATGCATGTGTGAAGGTTCTCTGTACATTTTCTAGGTCAGCAATTTCACCTGCCTTGAAAGGTGCTGTTAGTGTGCAGCAATATTCCAGCCTAGATAGAACAAGCGACCTGAAGAGTATCATCATGGGCTTGGCATCCCTAGTTTTGAAGGTTCTCATTATCCATCCTTTCATTTTTCTAGCAGATGCGATTGATACAATGTTATGGTCCTTGAAGGTGAGATCCTCCGACATGATCACTCCCAGGTCTTTGACGTTGGTTTTTTGCTCTATTTTGTGGAAGGAATTTGTTTTGTACTCTGATAAAGTTTTAACTCCCTCATGTTTACCATATCGTAGTAATTGAAATTTCTCATCATTGAACTTCATATTGTTTGTTGCAGCCCAATGAAAGATTTGGTTGATGTCTGCCTGGAGCCTTGCAGTGTCTGCAATGGAAGACACTGTCATGCAGATTCGGGTGTCATCTGCAAAGGAAGACACGGTGCTGTGGCTGACATCCTTGTCTATGTCAGATATGAGGATGAGAAACAAGATGGGAGCGAGTACTGTGCCTTGTGGAACAGAGCTTTTCACCGGAGCCGCCTCAGATTTTACGCTGTTGATTACTACTCTTTGTGTTCTGTTTGTGAGGAAATTATTGATCCATCTACCAACTTTTCCTGTTATTTCTTTAGCACGCATTTTGTGCGCTATTACACCATGGTCACACTTGTCGAAGGCTTTTGCAAAGTCTGTATATATTACATCTGCATTCTTTTTGTCTTCTAGTGCATCTAGGACCTTGTCGTAGTGATCCAGTGGCTGAGACAGACAGGAGCGACCTGCTCTAAACCCATGTTTCCCTGGGTTGTGTAATTGATGGGTATCTAGATGGGTGGTGATCTTGCTTCTTAGGACCCTTTCAAAGATTTTTATGATATGGGATGTTAGCGCTATCAGTCTGTAGTTCTTTGCTATTGCTTTACTGCCCCCTTTGTGGAGTGGGGCTATGTCTGTTGTTTTTAGTAACTGTGGGACGAACCCCGTGTCCATGCTCCCTCTCCACAGGATGGTAAAAGCTCCTGATAGGGGCTTCTTGCAGTTCTTGATGAACACGGAGTTCCATGAGTCTGGCCCTGGGGCAGAGTGCATGGGCATGTCATTTATCAGCTGTTCGAAGTCATTTGGTGTCAGGATAATATCAGATAGGCTTGTGTTAACCAAATTCTGTGGCTCTCTCATAAAAAATTCATTTTGATCTTCGACTCTCAGTCTGGTTAGCGGCTTGCTAAAAACTGAGTCATATATGGACTTGAGTAGCTCACTCATTTCCTTGCTGTCATCTGTGTAGGACCCATCTTGTGTAAGTAGGGGCCCAATACTGGATGTTGTTCTCGACTTTGATTTGGCATAAGAAAAGAAATACTTTGGGTTTCTTTCGATTTCATTTATGCTTTTAGTTCTTCCCGCGTTTCCTGACTCCTATAAGATTCCTATAGCTTAAGTTCAATGTTTGCTATTTCTCTGACCAGTGAATCACTAGGCATTTCAGATATATTGGCCTCTTTTAGACGCTCTGTTATTCTTTTCCATCGCCTGTAAAGGGAGCGCCTGTCTCTTTTTATTTTACATCCACTCCTTTTTTCTTAAAGGAATAAGCCTTGAGCATTCATCGAGTGCCACTGAGTTTATCTGTTCTAGGCATAAGTTGGGGTATGTGTTGCTTGGTCTATCTTCCCAGCTTATATCGTTTAGGACTTGATTTACTTGGTCCCACTTTATGTTCTTGTTATTGAAGTTTAATTTGATGAAGGCTCCCTCGTGACTAATCTCATTTTGTTGGTCTGGGGCTCTGCGCATAGATGTCTGAACCTCGATTATGTTGTGATCTGAGTATATTGTTTTTGATATGGTGACGTTTCATATCAGATCATCATTGTTAGTGAAGATGAGGTCTAGTGTATTCTCCAGTCTCATAGGCTCTATTATTTGCTGGTTTAAATTGAATTTTGTGCAGAGATTTAAAAGCTCGTGTGTGTGTGTGTGTGTGTGTGTGAGTTCTCATCAGAGCTGCCTCCTGGTGTTATCACATTATTTACTATATTCCTC